CATCCAGGGCTTTTGCACTGAGCTACCTCCCCAGTCCTTTCTTAAATTTTATTTTGAGACAAGGTCTCACTAAGTCCCTAAGTTGCCCAGACCATTCTCAAACTTGTGATTCTCCTGCCTCAGCCTTCCAGAGTGCAGGGATTACAGGTATGTGAACTGCTCCTACCTTTTACTTTCTTTTGTAAAGAAAAAATTTGCAAATAACTTTCATTTTCTGGAGAACCAACACATAAATTGACCTTTAATTTAAGACGAGTGACAAACGTCCCCTCTTATCTTTCTGACAGCAACAAGGCCTCTGTTCTCACAACTCCAGGGGCAGCTTACATGCTGTAGTCACTGCACTGCCAGCCAGCCAGCTCTGCAAATGCCACACTGTGTGATTGTATGTTCCAGCCCTGGGCAGCAGGGGTCCTGAGTAGCATTCTAGAAGGAATGCCAAGGAACATGTCCATCAAAATGTAGGTCATTTGTTTCATAGGCATTATGATAAATAAGAGATAGATTAAAAATTTTAGTACATAGTAAATAGAGATTTAGCTCTTTGAGCGCTGGCAGCAGAGGAGGGGCAGTCGGTACCCCGGAAGACTCGTGCAGGTAACAACCTGTCTTCAGTGTCTCTGAGCCATCAGCAGGCAGCCTGTTGACCGTGTGGTCTTCTCCCCGCAGTGCATCCTAGATCACAGAGAGGGAGGTGGTCTTCCCCTGAAGGTATTGACCCAGAAGGAGGGAAAACATGATTGAGGCACCATAGGAAGTAAGTGGGCTGGCTGACGTCTTTTTAGAGCATTATAAAGCGTCCTTACCAACTTCTTTTGAAGTTAAGAGGAACTGTGTTTTCTGTTCCAGATCATGCCAACTGAAAGAATAGTGGGAGACAAGAGAGAGGGAAGAACAGGGAAGGTGGCCAAGAAGAGGAGATAAAAGTGAGGAAAATGAAGAAATAAGAAGAAAAAAGAGACAGTAACCAATACAGAAAGGAGGCACATGACAAGAACAATGGGGAGAGGACAGTGAGAGGAAGGGAGAAGAACTTTTGGTTCCAAGTCCTAGGAATGATTGCAGCATTTTTGTACGGTCTGTGTCAATTTGCAATAACATTCATTCAACTCACATTCACTGAATGCTAGTACCTACCTTATACACTGGGTAGGATTCAGATTTGCCAGTGGGACATAGTCCTTGCCATCCGGATATTTATGATTTTGAAGGGGACCTAAAATATACAGACAGCTCTTGTACATAGCAGTAATCTTAGTTACTTTCTCATTGCCGGACACAATGCCCGACATCCCTACCTCAGAGGAGGACAGGTTTATTATTACAGGGTTCAGTCCATAGTAGATGGGCTCTAAGGCAGGAAGGGCAAGGTGAAGAGGCCTTGTGGAGGATGTCTGCTCATACCGTGACAGGCAGGAAGCAGAGAGGAAGGGGAAGAGGTGGGGAAGGAAGGATATGCTTCCAGGTCGGACATCCTTCCAGGTGACACCTCCTCACAGCACGTTTGGCTATGGATTCATCCCAGAGTACTCCACTGAGTACTGGTAGCCCCTCAGTCTGGTCACATGAGGTGTTGAGGGACTTCCTAGATCTAAGCCATAACACTATGGCAGCGCCATGGCCACAGAGACCTAAGCTGTCAAATCCCAGCTGTCACCCAGCATTACCGTAGGGCCTGGTACCTGGAAGGCATTCGTTAAGTGGTTCTTGGATGTGTTAACTGCTATATTTTGACAAGAACAATTTTATAATTGTACTTTTAAGAAAAATAACAGCTTCAGGACCCAAAAGCTATTCAAGCTTTTTTCCCTTCCAGGGAGCATTCTTCAGAGTCTCAAAGACAAAAAAAATCTATAGATTGAGCTCAGGACCTGAGCTTCTTGACCTGTCTTGGAAATTCTTTGAGTGCATGTGTGCGGGCGTGTGTGTGTGTGTGTGTGTGTGTGTGTATGTGATGGAAGTCAGCTCACCTGAATTACCCCTTGGGTCTCAGAGGTTTTCAACGTTCCCATTTCTGCTTTAGGGAAAGTCCTTGAGCCCTGTTCCACATTACTGCACTCCAGGGACGAGCCGAAGCATATCGCCTGAACTGACTCATTTAACCCTCATAGCAGTGTGCCGCAGTGAGTGCTGCTGCGACGAGAACCTGAGGTACAGAGAAGTTAGTAGCACAATGAAAGAGCTGTTGCAAAGCCAGGCGGGGTGACATAGGCCTGTAATCCCAGCTCTCTGGGAGGCTGAGGAGGGAAGATTACAAGCTCAAGCCCAGCCTGAGCAATTTAGTGATTTAGGGAGGTGTTGCCTCTAAGTGTGTGTGTGTGTGTGTGTATGTGTGTGTGTGTGAGAGAGAGAGAGAGAGAGAGAGAGAGAGAGAGAGAGATGGGGTATAGCTCAGTGGAAAGGCCCTGGATTCGATCTCGAGTACAAGGGCCTTGTCAGGACATGGGGAGAGACTGAGTGTACCCCAGGGGAACTGTCTATTATCAGTGTCCTGGGGTATTTTTCCTGGCTGACAACCATGCTCTGAAGTTCTTGCCTGTTTGGAACATCAGAGTTACGTTAGTTTCGGGGAACTGCTGGATGATGTAGCATATCTTGGTCATTTTTGGTCCATTTACCCCTCCTTCCAGCCATCTCCTTCTTCTCCCTTTTCACATCTCCAACAGGTCTGTTTTTGGTTTCCTGCCATTTCTCCTAAGTTTAATTGGTAATTCATGTCTTAGTTTTCTCATATAAGAGAAATCGCATGATATGTAACTTTCTGTGTCTGTCTTATTTTGCTTAAGAGTTTATGGTCTCAAGTTCCATCCCTTTTCCTGCAAACGGCAGATTTCACTCTTCTTCCTCCATTCTGTATGTCCACCACCTTGTCTTTATCCATTCATTTTGATGGGCATCTAGGCTGTTGTCAGAGCTTAGCAAATGTGAGTATAAACATGGGTATGTGGTATGCATGTATCACTATAGCATGATGCCTTTAACTCACTGGGGAATACACTAGAAGGGCAGCTGCCTCAAACTGCTGGCCACTTAGATTATACACTCAGAGTTGGGTGCTCACTGCTGACCAAAGCAAAGGAGGTCGTTTATTTTTTCTTTTTACATAGAAGAAAAAAGATTTATTCAAAGCTAGTTTGATGGAGGTGGAGGGGCCTACTGGCTTCATATCCCCGTGTACTGGAGGGTTACTTTTACAATAAGCTACAAAGGGGAGGGGAGCACAGAGAGACCATGATGATCTTCACGCTTGCTTTGCCATTTCCAACTGTCTTCAGCTCACCCTGTCCTGGGCCAGCACCTGCATATTCTGTCACTTTTTCTGGGCTGAGAAGAGGAGGTGGTTTTGGGTTTGTGCTCAGTAGGAAGAAATTTGGAGAAATGGCTTATCTCTACAAGAAAAAAAAATTAACTTTCAAAGCTCTATTTTGCAGGGCCTAACCTAAGTGGCTGGTAACAAAATAAAAATCTCTACATTTAGCTTTTTGAGGAATCTCCATAGTAATTTCCATAGTGGTTATACTACTTTCCATTTCCACTTTCGACATTCTGTTTCTTACTTTTGATTTTTATTAATATATGTTCACAGTGCATAATGATTATATGTACTTGTGCTGGCACAAGTACATAACACATCTTAATTTTCTTTAATACCCTTTCCCCTCTGTCTCCCTCTCCCATCTCTTTGGTCCTCTTCCGGTTTGCAAAAGATCTAGCTCCCCGTTTATTACCCTATCTACTTTGGACACTCTGTAACTGTCCCATCCAGGAAGTGCCAGGATACAGCTAACCAGAGGCAAATCACAGTCTGGCCTGAAGCACCTCACATCTGAAAGCAGTGGGGACTACACCGTGAGCCTGATCCTAAGTGGTTCCTAAAGAGCTGAGTCCCTTTGCTGAGTACTTGAGGACTGAACTGTGCAGGCCATGACTTCCAGGCCTTGTGCCATGTGCAGAGGCAGGAAGGAGAATGCTTTAGGGCTCAGCCTGCAGGTCTGGCTCCTGAATAGTTTGGGTGGCTGTGTAGAGGTCCACGGTTGCACCCTGTTTATTGTTTCTCCCAATACCCACAATCTGGGGCTCCCCAAGCCCACCATTTTCCTCCCCACATTCCTAACATTCCTCTACTATGGGAAATGCTAACTTTTTCACTCTGCTTCTGCTCAGCTTTCCTCCAGGACTGATTTCCTCGTGCTGCCCCTCACCAGCCAGGGCCTGTTCCAGCTGCGATCCGTGAGGTTCCTCTACCTTCCTGCCTTTGCTCCAGTCTTCTATTGCTTCCTCTCGCATTAGCCTTTAGTCTCCTACTTCCTGGCCTCTCTCTTCCCTGATCTGGTCCCATGAAGCCGCACCTGTACTCAGAAGTGCTCCAGAGTTCGGTAATTTATTTAATGTTAAAGTAAAGAAAAGAGCTCTACAGAGAAGACTCGGGAGCAGCGAGCGAGAGGAGAGCCAAGCTGGCCTGCGGCTCGGCATAACCGAGAAGGGCCTGCAGCCTCCAGCCGCGGAGGCGGCGCGTGTCCCGCAGGGTCCAAGGCGCCGGGCAGCTGTTATTAAGAAAAGTTCCTTGGGGGCTGGGGATTTAGCTCTGCGGCAAAAGCGCCTGCCTGGCAAGCGCAAGGTCGTGAGTTCGGTTCCCGGTACCGGAGAA